CACCTCGACTATGTTGGATTTGAACCCCTTTGAACATTTTAGTTTTGTTTCCATTTCTTGGGAACTATAAAAACCAAAATCAATGCTTTGTTCACTGACAGTTCAGCTGATCATTTCTGGTAAAAGTATAACATTTTGAAAAGGAAATGTCCAAACTCATGCTCAATTGAAGCATCATATACTGTACCTAAACTTAATTTTTTTAATTAGTTTAGGTAAGTGCACTTTCTCTGCTATATCACATTAATAAGTATAATCAGGGAAAAATGTGCTCTTGCAAATGGTCTCTACAAGCTTCCTGACCATCAACATTGGTGTCATAAAAAGAAGCACAACCCAGGACACTTCTCCCTGGATATGGCAACAATTCTAAAAAGTCAAGAATTTCCAACCAAATGGATTCCATTGCAAAGGTAAACTCAGCAAAGTGCTAAACTCCAGGCAATGCAAGTTTTTAAGTGCAAAGTAATGCGTCTCATTGTTTACTATCCAGCAAGGCTCCGCACTAGGAGCTGCAAGAGCGAGCCAAAGGAACACATTGTTACCGGCTTAGACTTTTAAACAGCAGCAAACAAGAAGGATCGATTCAAACCTGCAAGTCAACCGGCAGCTCGCTTTCTATCTCAGAACGTGAGAGAGTCCCTATGGGAGAATAAAGTTAGCAAAATAGAAAAGAAAAAACAAAAACTGACCTTATTTTCTAAGAGAGTTTTGATGATCTAACACAGATTGCTAGATACAGTGTGGTAATGTCACGGCTGCATGATGTTGAAGTGGTGGGTTTGTTCCCTGGGAGGTACAGTAGTAATTACTGGATGGGTTCTGAATACACTGTTCGATCACGGAGGGAAAACACACCACGCCATAAACGTGGTTGGACCTCACTGGCTTGTCAAAGTGGGCGTTCGCAGATTTAAAAATATCTGAATGCACTTATTTAAAGAAAAACAACAACAATGGAGGCCATTTTTAAACAAAGAATGAATAAATAAGACCAGATTTAGTTGTATCACTAGGAAGCATCCTGACCTGAAGAAAAATGTGTTCTTGCTGTACTTCAGAAGCGCGATCCACCCGATAATAAATGTGATGGCGATCCAGAAACACTGTACCTTAATATTTTCTCTCTGTCTTTGTCAAAGGCAAACAAGCTTAAACTGCAGTCTGCGGTGCGCTTAAGAGGGGAAGACGGACGGCAGCTTTCGCTTAAAAGAACATTAAAATAATCCATCCGTCCATTTTCTTATTCCTAGAAGGATTGGGGGGGGGCTGTAGCATATATCAGCAGTCATTGTGCTACAGACTAACACAGACATCCACTCCTACTGGCAATTTGAGGTCTAGCATGCACGCTTTGGAGTGTGGGAGGTAGCCAGAGAAGGTGGAGAGAACCTCCATCAAAAGGCCTCCTGCCAGGATCCCAACGAAGGAGTCCTTTGCCGTAAAGCTCAAATATGTCCATGCAGCAGTGAGTGGATGAAAAAGATGGGTCCTGACCCGAACCCGGTCCGTTTAATTACATTAAAAGCACCCGTGCTTTTTCCCACCTTAATGGAGCATTTTTCCATTAGCCTTCTCAGAAATCTGGAGCTTCAGAACTGGGGTCCTGGTGTTAAAGCAGAGCAGATAAATCAAGCATCACTTCCTGATTAATACCACCATTTATGAGATTAACGACCTCACAATATCACTTAATGGTACAAAAATGCCTGTTAAACTATAGGTGCGGTTTTAAATCAATGACATATTTGAAATTGCAGTTTTTTTTAAAGTTTTCATCTTTAAAGCAGAACGGGAATTCTTTGTTAGGAACTCCCATCCAGCATTTCTGCTCTGAGGGGACAGCCAGTGACACTTCCAGCTTCTAAATTCAACCACCATGCCCAATAACCCGTCAGCGTTAATCTCATAAATGTGATTCATCTCGCCATACTTCACTTTACAATTCCCACTCCAGCCCATGGCATCGCCGGGCATCTCGGACGAGTGGGCTGGGACTAGGTTTGGCAGCAAACGGCTCTGACCGGAGGGATTCTCCATAAACAAGGCAATCCATTATGGGATCCACTCTGGAAATAGAAGCTGAGATGCTTTAAGGCCTGAGCCCCGGCTGGACGTTAGGAAAGATGGTTTTGATGATGGCAGTGTTTTTTTCGGCGTGCAAATTCACATATTTGGATGTCTCCAGTGTTCATCTAAGTGCTTTTAGTAGTCTTAATGTGATCAGGCTTCTCAAAGGTGCTCAGAGAGACGGTGTTAAACGAATAGCTGAGGTGATTATATGAGTGTTGCTGGAGGAATTGAAATCTGAGAGGGTCGTGTTTCAGCCATAGAGGAAAGGGGGAAATGTCCCAGCCCGTCCGCTCGGGCTACCCATCAAAAAATCTGACACTCATTTAAAAGATTAACTCAAACCTCCAGCCTCTCGCCTCGAGCCAACAAATCAGTGCAGAGCTGTGGTCCCTACGAGGACGGCGGGTCCTGACAAGGTGGGCGTTTGAAATGTCAAAAGAGGGACATTTTCAATCCTCATTTGGATTGTAAACACGCTTCATCCGTTCAAACTGACTCAAGTCTGCTCCCACACACAGGAACGCAAAACGCTACGACCAAAACAAGCTTCACAAAGCGATCGGCGGCCTGCTGTACGGAAAAACAGAAGGCCGAACAGTCTGGACACAGCGGTCTGAGGGGGTCATCACGAGCATCATTTGGTGACAGGAAGCATTAAAGGCCGGGGTGGCACCATTCCCCCCCCCCCCCTCACTACGCACAGATTCCTAATCTATTCAGCTGAGTTACCCTGGAAGGAGAGCAGAATCCACACAGAACCACCCCCTTAACCTCTCCCCCCCCATTGCATAATGTCTGAGCTGTCAGCGGCTTTGCCAAAGAGTGAGGTTTTCTTTTCACGCTGAAGAATTTGAGAGAGCAAAAAAAATAAATAAATAAAGCATGAAACAGGGAAGGCCTGGCTTGCCCTGATCCCTAATCGGAGGTGATTGCCCCTTGCTCTCCATCTGTCCTCTCTCCATAGTAGAAAACCTCTAAGGGAGAGCAGAAACCGGTGGTTCAGAGTGAGGACTGGATCCTGCCTGGATTTGGCTCTGGGGCTCTTCTTCTGCTATCCGATCAGACAATTCGAGTTTACACCGAGAATAAAACCTCCATAGTTTTTGCAGCAAAGCATCTTCACGCCCCCAGCTGTTCCTCTATGGACATCCTACCTGAATGGGTGCTGAGGTCCTTCTGGTAAGCGCGCATGCATGCAGGGGAATCAGCTAAACCGGGACTTTCATCTGGTCAGAGGAGCGCCAACTTCCTCCAGCTGGACTCCAGCATCTCACACTAGGCCGGTGTGGCTCAGCGGGGCCATTTGTTATCCCCCTCCCCTTCTCTCCTGTAGGGCCAAACACCCGCCCCTCGCTCAGATCCACCGGCGAATCGATATCTGGCTGGACTGAGGGGAGAGGGAGAAAATGCCGCGCCAGCAGCATCAGCAGCAGGAGGCTGCCATCCCGTCTGAGGAGAGACGCAGTCTGACTCGTCGCTAAATGCCCCGCACGCTTTAAGTTAACCCCCCCTTTGTGGCCCAAAAGAGGCCGATCGGAGGAGAGACGCATGCGAGTGTCAGGCGTTTCTTACCCGGAGTTTTCTCTTTGCTGCAGTGGGGAGGAAGGCTGAGGAGGAGGAGGGAGGAGGAGGAGAAGGAGAAGGGGGGGGGGGTGCACCAACTCCACAGCTCTCCTTTCTTCAAGCGCCTCTCTCCATCCAATGACTCCAGTGGCGGTCCGGCTGGATGTCCCCCCCTGGGGGAGGAAGAGGAGAAGGAGGAGGAGGATAGATGAAGGGGAGGGAAGCGGCGTCCACTCTCCCGTTTGTTTTCAGCGCATCCGGAAGCGGCTCACCAGCAGCCAGCAGGAGGAGGAAGAGGAGGAGGAGGAGGATGAGGAGGACGAAGGTGGGTCTCCCAACTCTGAAGGAATCTGGAAAGCTGCAGCGAGACGCAGCCAGGAGCCCGGACTGCGGCCGGAGAAGTCCCTCCCCTGCGGCGCAACTTGCTCCACAGGGCCGCTCGATAAAGAGGCGACCACCGCACACAGCCGCCGCTCCGAGGAGGACCTGCCCACCTCTCACACACACACACACACACACACTCACACACGCACACACACAGACACACACACAGACACATTTCTGCTGCCGTTACGCAACAGGATCACAGGGGGGAGACCGGGATGGGAGGTGTGTGAGGAGTGTATTTTTCTTTGTTTTTTTTTCTTCAAACTTTACAAGCATCCCTTAGACCTTGAGACATATAATACAGGAAATAAAAACTCCCGATTCCAAATAAGCGCCAAAGATCAACCCGGCATGCTTCCCGACCAAAATTGAAGAAGTGGAGGTGGAGATCTTTGGAAAGTTTTGTAGGGGAAACTCTCCAAGAATGACCAAGGGTGGCGACTTCTTCCTGAGACTTGATCTCTCTAAGTCTAGAAAATAAAGAAAATTAAACATCACATTTGAATTATTTTGTTCTACTGACACCTGTCCTGCTTTGACCACATTCAGCTTCATTATCGCTCCATCTTGTCTTTCACCATGCTAAATAAAATAAAGTGTAAATCAATAACACGTTTTCTTATCTCCAAATGACCTGTAGATGCATTCACCTTAACATAAATGGATAACGTGTTGAGCTCAAAGTGAACAGGAACAGGGATTCTAGAGGCTCCTCAGCAGGTAGGGTGGTGCAGGCTGCTTTTTCTTTGCCTTTCATTGGCTCCCTCTGCTGGTGACAAACACAAACTGCATGTTCTTCAATTATTGCGATCTAGCAGACGTCTCAAACTACTTAAAGGATGAAAAAGATTATATTTTATGGAGACCAGCATAAATAATGGAAAAGCTCATTTCTACCAGCTCTGAAAGTGTGTGTCTGTGTGTGTGAAATAGTTTGGGGTGGACTGAGCATTCCGGAAACACGAAGACACGTTAAGTATCTATAAAAACATATATTTATTGTTCTGTTACATTTGGTTAATTTGATCAACAATAACTGGCGGCAGGTCAGGAGACAAACTGTACACATCCTTAAGCGAAGAATACAGAGGGCGTCGGTATTTCTGGGTTCAGTGGCAAAAAAAGTCAAATGAGCAACGATTTAGTTGTTTTCTGATTGGCGAGTGTTGGGTTTTTAATGCTGGGTTCAAAAGTCGTCCTTCAGCCAAAGTGGTTTTTCTCCTAAACGGGTACATTTACAAGAGGGGTAAAAACACTGTACATTGTTTAGCTGTTACCTATCTGTCCTTTGTGCAGGACAGTGATGACTACTCATCTTTTTCTTCCCTCAGATCATGCGAGGTGGAAGAAAGTCAAGTAAAGCTGTAATGGATAAAAGCGTGTTAAGATTCTAAAGAGAGAAATAGAGGTGCTCTGTACTCAACAAAATAGTGTGTGGATTAAAATAGATACAAGGTTATAATATATAAAGGCTTAAATCTCTGGACATAAGGTCAGCCACCAGTGCTGTCCCACACACATTCCTCACTACACTTACACTCAGCAACAAACTCTTCTGCTGCGACTCATTGTCAGTCTGTGGACCATCAAGTTTCTGCTGTACATTTGCATTAAAACAAACACAGGACGCTGATCCCAAAGTGCGACTCCCTTCCTCCCGTCCACTCCGTGCCGAAAGGCTCTGATCAATAACAAACATTTATTTGACTCGGTAAGTCGGCTGGCCGGCGGGCAGCCTGATTGGCCGGATTACAGCAAGAGGACGGGAAACAAGGCAGGAGGAAGGGGAGCCAGTCTCAGTGGTTGAGCGGTCACTCTCTCTTCGAGGCTGTCTTGAGCACAAAGAGCTCTGGTGTGTAACAAAGTGGTTCCATTGGAAGAGGAGTGAGTTTGGTGAGAGAATGAGACAAGGTTAAGAGTGTTCGCCAGACCAGCCACATCCAGAGCCTGGAATTCACATGACTCTTCTCTCAGTCGCTTCCTGTCTTCATTCTCATTTTGACCGGACTGAAAGTGCAATTGTCATCCGTTTGAAAAACCCACAGATGAAGAGTAACTTCTTTTCAGCCCCTGGGACCTCCCGTCCTCTGGTTTCCTTTTTTTTTTTTTACATGTGAAGTTTCAGGAGTGATATCAAATGAATCAGTTTATGTGCCACAAAACGAGAGAATTTAGTAAAAAGGACTGTGTGGAAACGGTCTTAAGCCGTTGCCTCCGGAAGAAATAAAACAAAGACATCAATTGCACATGCTCGGGTGAGTGACCAGACCGGTGGACCAGCTCTGAAGCCTAAACGAGATGTGAGGACACTGCTCGGCCTCCAGCTTTGGGCTTAACTGTATGAAAATCAACCAGCTTTCATGTCTAGCTGTGCTGTGCAATGAAAAGTAACATTTCTGATAAAAATCTGGCAACGTATCTCCAAAAGGGCAGCTTGTGGCTGATCTTTGGCTTTTCTGGTGAAACATTGTCCACCTCAGTTTTTTTCATTTAAAAACATCTGCATTTCTTTTTCCCTTCATTTCAAATGCACCTCTCTCCTTACATTTCACACCCCTAGGTTGGGTTTACTTTTTCAAAATTGGGACTGCGCACAGCATGTGAGGATGAGGAGTTTTTTGGGATTTGAATTGAGAACGTGGTGACCATGAGGTCAGAGTCAGAGTCTCCCTGCCCGGGCATCTGTGAGGCGGAGGCTGCGACAGCGTTAATGGTTAGATTACATCACACTTTAGCATCAGCTGAGGGACCGTGGGGGGGGGGGAGTTGGATCGGTTGCCATGGTAACAGTCAGGCTGAGGAAGTCAGAGTGGCTGTGACTGAGCCAAGTGGACCGTGTGCGTGAGGTGTGTCTGGGCCTGGCTGGGCGGCGGCTGCGGGGGCTGGCCGTGGGCGTGGGGCGGCGGCTGCAGGATGTGCACCACCCGGCTCAGAGTCTCTGTGGACGCGAAGGCCAGGTAGTGGCAGCACAACCAGTCCTCCAGGCTCACACTGCAGGCCGCGTCCAGCGAGCGCTCCGCGAACTTGATCATCATCAGCGTGCGCTTCAGGTCCAGCCAGTTCTGCAGGGTGGCTTCGCGCTGGCCGGCGGTGGGCCCCGACACGGGCCCCGTGCTGCTGCAGCCCAGCGCCTGGAACAGGTCCTCCCGGGGGCCCCAGAGAAGGCACTGCAGGCAGGCCCGGGCCTCCGACATCCGGATCCTCTCGGAGGGGTTGACTGTGAGCAGGAGCCTGGCCAGCTGCTGCAGGCCGTGTGAGTAGAGCGACTTGACCGGCAGCGGCGGAAGGTCGGCCCACGTGTACTCGCGCTCCTTCAGCTCCGGCGTCTCCTCGAACGGGTTGGGCCGGTGCAGCATCTCGTAGATGAGGATCCCCGTTTGGAACTCGTCGCATTTGCGGTACTGCGTGGCCGTGATGATCTCGGGCGCCAGCCGGGACTGGTCGCGCAGCGCGCTGGGGTCGGTGGCCATGAGGTTGCTCTTCTGTTTGGCCTGCGAGAAGTTGCTGATGATGAGGCGGGCGGGGCAGGTGGCGTTGGCGGCGGCGTTGGCAGCTGTCGTGCCCGCACCGCTGCTGCCGCCGTTGTTGTTGGGCTCAAGTACGTCCAGGTTCCAGGGGTTGCCAGGTTGGCACTGGACCAGCAGCAGGTTCTCCAGTCTCAGGTCGCAGTGGGTCACGTGGTAGGGCTTCATGTGCTCCAGGCCCGAGCACAGCTGCAGCAGCAGCAGGCAGACCTGACGCTCGTACAGCTCTGGGTTGTGAGCGTGTCTGGCCATGCCTTCTCTCACAAAGTCAGCCACGGTCTGGAAGGGCACCTCCCGTGTAATCACCACCACTCGGCTCCTCAAGCGGCCCGTGGTGTTCATGTTACCCGCTGCCGGGGCTTCATCTAGTTTACCGTTTGGAGCAGATGCTTTAGAGTCTGTCAATTTAACCTCTTCCTCTGGCTCCCTTTCTCCTTCTTCCTCTTTCTCCTCCTTCTCCTCCTCCACGTCCTCCACCCAGGGGAGCAGGCGGGTGGGGACATCGGCCAGGAAGTGCCCGCAGTCCTGCTGGATGTTGAAGTGCACGGGCAGGCTCTGCCTCACTGCCAGGCTGTGGAAGAACTGCTGCTGGGTCTCTTTCACGTGGCTCCGACAGATCTGCAGAAGCGAGACAAACAGAAAGAGAGCAGAATGAAGAACGGGGGCTTCCCTTAACATTTAAGTGCTGCTGTCGCTCCATTAGCTTTTGTCAACATTTTCAAAGCCATTAAACTCCAAAGAACTTTGGAATGATTTAATATAAATGGATTCAATCAATTATGCTGGGGACAGAAATGACCCTGAGAGCCTTTTAAAGTAACGGTGTGCTTTGGTTGGATCAACAACATTTAAGCAGAGCAACCACAAGGGACAAAAAGGGGGAAAGACAGCTGCTTTTGAACTATAAGTTGTCACAGATGACAGGGAATTAAAGATGATTGGCATCCTCAGCAGGACTGGCTGACCAACAGCCGAGTAATAGTCTGTGGTTAAAGAGGAACGCGTCATTGTTGCCTGTCTGCAGTTGGCTTGTAATCACTCAAACAAGCCGGAAATACGGTGAAAAGAACAAATGTTTCAACACTGAACAGACTTAAAGAGAGCAAGAATGTGGGAATGTCCAGGTTGGCCGCATGTTTGTTTGGAAAAGCTGGATCTGGTCTACAGCTGCATTCTGATCATTCCTCACGTCCAGTGTTTAAATACTACTTTTAGGAAGTTGTGCTGTTGTTTTGGAGCTCTGGGTTCACGAGTAGTTGAATTCATGGATCTGTCTGCTTGATGCAACGCCGACGTCTCGCAGGTTTTAAAGCTCACTGAGTCATGCCGCTGAAACCCTTGAGAGAGATGAGGACATGCACGGTCGCGCAGAGGCTGGACGATGATTTATTAGCAGAGGATTAAAAATACCACGGCATGAAAAATCTCATTTGCAGGAGGACCCAGCACAGTTTGGGGCTCGATGGGGGCGGGAGCATGTTTAGCCCACCTTCAAGTGGAGACTTGAGGAAAGTTTAATTGGCTTGTTGGGGCCTGCTGGTGTTCAGTTGCCTCATTTCACAAACCATCACAACAAAATGGCTTTTTCTTTCCCTCGGTCTGTTGCTAATGCAAAGCCAAAGCTTTGAAGTATGGCAAAGCGTAGAGTGTTTCAAATTCTCTGAATAACACAACCTCAAACAACATCTACTTTATGATGAGCTTCAGAACTCTTCCGGCAAGCTCGGCCCCCGCCACCCACGTCCTGCCTCTCTCCACTAACACCACAATCACACGCACAATAAATAGCACACTGCTGGCAAATTCATGAAGAGGAGAAGGGAAAAAAAACAAAGGCCCACACGGGTTTTACTGCACAAGGTCCTACCCTCAGGGCTCAAAGTTTAAGTGCCACTATTTCAGTATAAAAGAGCTTCCAGCAGCTCTGCCGAGGATTTGAGACGAGGTTCAGCAAAACACACAAACAAACAAACAAAAACAAAAAGAGCAGGGACTTTTAAAATCTATTACAAGAGCTGAAACAGAGATGAGAGTTATTCAAGGGGGGGAAGATAAAATTCTGAACTCATTCTTCAACAAAAACAAACAATGATTAATTCACATTGAGAAAAAGCTGAAATCTAAGCTAATGGAGGACTGATCTACTCAGAAATGGGGGGGGGAAAGTGGAGCTTTTGGGAAGGAACCAGGGTCATAACAGGAAAGTAGGACAAACTTGTTTTGCTTCTTGTGTTTCAGGGTTGAACAAGCTTTCCGGGTATATACGATGTAACTACGCAAAATATAAAAGCAGCTTACGTAAACATAAATTATTCATGACAATATCTAATAATGACCCAGTCTTAGCTTCTAAGAGAGGCCCTGCCCGGTGAGTCACCTGAAATGTATCTCAGGTCCCGTCTTAAAACAGGACATGGTCTGCCAAGAACGGAGGCAGCAATTTTTCTCCTGGAGAACGTGGGAACAAATATCTGATCCACAGCTATACTTAGTAATCTCACCTTGATGGCGTAGTTGACCAGTGGGTCCTTGGCGTAAGAGGCGGTGTAGTAAACGGCATCCCCCGCCTCACAGCATGGTTTGCCAGTGGTCAGCCTGAAGTGGGACCAGCTGTCGGTGCCAAATCTTAAGTGATCCTTCTGGCCAGCCATGAAGCGGTCTTCACACTTTGAAGCCAGCTTCCGCAGAGTGTCTGTGTGGAGTCCCCGGATTCTCCCCACCACTTCATCCCAGGTGTCTAACCCCCTGTACAGGGCAGGTCTCTGTGGTTTGGAGCCCCCTGCTGCTGCAGCGCCGACACCTCGACCGGCTGTCCGACCCCTTCCGGCCAGAGACTCCGTGCTTGGGAACACCTTCCTCTCCCGACCAGCGGTGGCAGTGGGCGTAGCAGGTGCAGGTGGGGTCACCAGGGACGACACGCTGTTTGCCAGACGGCCCGTGCTACAGGCTGTGTTAGATGACGGCCTTTCCAAAGAGTCCCCGCTCTCATGGGCTCGATGAGGCTCAGAGCTGTGAGAGGAGCTCTGGCTGGCTGTCTCCCAGGTGGAGTCCAAGTCGTACAGCGGGTTGGCCACACTCAGGTTGGTGCCTCCGGGTTTAGCTTCGGCCCGGGGTCTAATGGGCTCCTTAACCCCCAGGGCAGGTTCAGTGGTGGAACGAGGAACAGCCTTCTTTGGCAGAGGCGGCGGTGTGGCTTTGGGCGTTGGCTGGTCAGTGAAGCCGTCAAAGTCGATGGAGGCTAAGGTGTCATTGGATGCTTTGATATTCCGTGGCTGTTTGAGGGGAATCATGTTGGCTCTGGATTGACCTGGAAGAGAGGGAAAATGAGCTGTGCATGAATACATGAATGAATATGAATTCATACAGATATAATTTTAAAATGGTCTTAATGCAAAATCTGTATCTGAAATTAAGACAAATATGCTTCATCCCTTGAGTTATAAACTGTTTTAAGTGGTTTAAACTCACAAACACATTACTTTGAGTGGACATAAGGACTGAAAATAAGATAAAAAAGAAACCAATTCCCAAAAGGACAACCTATGAAGGGCCTCCAGAAGATTGCAGCTGGTCATTTTGAAATATTTCATGAAAGCTTCGGTAGAAAGTACACCTTATGATGTGATGTCATCGCATAAAGCCGGACAAGTGATTCAGAGCATAGCATACGCAAAAATCCTCTGGAATTTACATCACGTAAATTAAAATCTTATTCCCACATTCACAGCTCCTCCTAAGCTCCTAGTTTCCGTTGTGTGGGGTTTCCAGGATCCGCTGGCTTGCTGCCTGTAGTAAGGACGAGAGGCTGACGGCCGGCTGTGTACAGCAGCACGTGAGGGAGATGGTGGCCCCGAAGACAAGCCAGGAGGCTGAGCAGCTGGGGGCAAGCTGTTCCTCTGACTGTCCAGCTGCATGACCCAATCTGCAGCTCTGCTCTGCGGCCAAGCTTAAAGAGGCAGCACGGAGAGCAAACTCATCAGAGGCTCCACACGACCTTATTTTTTTCGGAGATGATGGTGGGTGGAAACTGAGGGGCTGCCTGGACTCTGTCTACGACGTTCGGAATATGAGGCAGATGGCTGTGAGATGAGTGTTTGACAAAAGGAAGAGAACAAAAAGGTGGCCCTGTCTGTCTGGTGGGGAAAAAGCTGACAGAATTTACATTCACGAGATCACAGATATGCTCTCTGCGCTGCTTCAACTCACCGGGGAACAGGCCAATTTCTTGAAAGATAGAAATAATAAGAGGCTTCTTCTGTTAGTACTCCCCTATTGACAGAAGAAACCATTTCTACTTGGGCAAAATGCTAAAGATTCTAGTTAAACTGGATGAGTGACTGTCCACGTGTAAAGTCCCGCTGCCATCATTTTAGGAATGCACATCCGTCAGGATAGGGTAAATGAGTCTTGGTAATCCTCCCTGGAACGAACACATTTAATGTGTTCCTGCACAAATCTGAAGTAATCCAACAAGCAGGACTCTCCCTGGTCCAGTCCAAAGCATCTTCTGTTGCAGTAACATGGCTTAAGTGAGTTACATAAGACTAACACTAAATCATCTCCCAAGAAAAGAAGAAAGATTAGATTTTTCTTAAGAAAATGAAAGGTGACTGGCTTTGACGTGAACATCTGAGAAAAGCAGTCACAAGTTAAAGTTTTAGGTGTGCAGAACGCTGTGAGGTAGAAAGGAATGGGAGCAGATTCTGAAACTGAGCCTGCCGTCTTATCTGTGCCTGGTGATCCAGCCAAAGACACAGTGTAACAGAATGACCGTGTGACGGAGGCATGGTTAGAGCAAAGCCACCAGCCCGAGCACTGAAAGTGATAACCGTGGCTTCCTTTGATGCGCGAGTCTGTCTCGCTTTGAGATAAGGCGGCAGCCTGTGTCCTGAAAATCTGTTTTGAGAGCTAAAGAAAAAAGAAAAAAACTAATTGCGTTTTTTATTTGATTGTAGGAAAGAGAGCCAGATGTGACTGAGATCATTATCTTATCATCGCAGCTCATATTCAGCTATCAGTATGCTCAAAGGCAGAATGATTTATATACTTTTATACTTCCATCATAAGATGGGTGCCACAGCTTCTTTCTCTTATTTAAACACGTTAAAACATAAACTAATACCCCTAACCTTATTAGAATCATTCAGTGCAAAGTCATCCCCTCACAGGCTGCATGCATACAAAGTGGGAGAGCTTATAAAGTTGATTTGCCTGCATTTCTTTCAGAAAGGAATGAAGAACTTGTTGCGGCAGATCAGCCGTCGTCAAGCAGCTAAACTAACTGCAACACTGCAACGAGAGGAAGCGATGGAGGGGGTGCGGGGGGACAGGATCTGAGGGTAAAGAAGGAGGCTGGAACGGAGGAGTGGGCGGCTAGTGGTGGTACAGGCGACAGGCTAAAATAAAAGAGGCGAGGAGCTGAGCAGGAGACGGGTGACAAACAGAGATAAGACAGGTGATGACAGGGATGAATACCGAGAGATCTCAAACGAGAAAAACAAGCCTACCTCAGTTCCACTAATGACTCAAAGTTTGGTGGCTTAATACGATGCAGCAGCTGAGAGTGGAGGCTGAGTGGAATGCTCCTCTCTGCTCACATATCGGAGTCTGTGAGGAGTCAACAAGCAGCACAGACGGCGCATCAGAGAGGGAGGCAGTGAGCCCCCGATGCTCTGATTAAAACGCGTGCACGATGCTAAGCGAAAGAGACACTTAGGATTCCTCAGTGAAAACGTGCGAGTGGAGCATCCCGATTAGCCGGGGGAAGAGGAGCTGATCGATTCCTGAGTCTTAGCGAGCAGAAAAGATAAGACGGATGAAAACTTAACAACAAAAAGCACAATGTGTCTCTCCACACTGCCAAGTGAAACGAAAAAGGAATGAGAAGGATGCACTGCACAGTGCGACGCTCCTCAGAAGACAAACACTCAGCAGTGCTTCCTTATTAGCGGCGCGCAGCAAAGTAAAATTAGACCGCAGGCACCTCATGGCACAGCATCCAGGGAGCTTTTAACACACTCACAGCACATCTACCCACAGAGCCGGCACAAATTCTCAGCTTCACAAAGACTGCACGCAGAGAATGGGAGTACACTCTAAAAAAAACTTAAAAAAAACACAAGCCTGATTAGCGCAAAGGTGACACTGAAAAGCCAACGGATATTCAGTCTCTGATGAATCACTGGACAGAAGGTCCAGATCCACCTGCTCCACAAACCCTCACTCTCCTCCCCATCCCTTCATGTTCTCATTCCATGTTGCCTCTCTCATCACTGGCTCGCAGAGTTCCCACTCATTAAGAGCTTCATGCTGTAAAGTGGCCCGACTGCTGTGCTCACCTTCCCCACCTCCCTCCAGCTAAACCCATGACAGTAAGCTGCTGGCAGGGAAGTAAAAACGGTAACTGTCAGACGGGCTCCAAAAGAAGCATTGAAACTGGTTTATTTTGCACTTTCTGGGGCGCTTTTTCAAAACAACTTTTCTCTCCGGTCTGACTCCTTTGGCCCGTACTGTATATCGGCATGTCACGGCAGACGATGAGGATCGTTCAGAAAACAAAGAAAGATCATTACTATCAGATCTGGGGGCTTGGCAGTAATAGCCAACCTGAAGGCAGTCATGCAGTGAATTCTCTTCCATTGTGGTAAAGTCTGGTCGATACATCGCACGCTGTACGGAACAAGATAATCAAAGCCATTGGGTGTTGTTACAGAGAAGCGAGCTTCTTCTGTTAATCTGTGTTTGTGTTGCTCGCACCACTGAAACAGCTCCGCCCCCACAGCCCCTCTGTGTCACTGAGCAAACTCCACGAGACTGGAGCTGATAATTATGGCGCTTCAACCTCACAGCCTGGGCACACAAACACGACTGTCGCGACAGACTTTTTCCAAGTTTGCGTCCCTCGTGCAGCTATTGACACCGATATCCCCTGACTTTAATGTTAAATGTCTGTATGGATTGTAGGAGCAGATGGTTGACTTTCCTGAACATGATGCAGATACAGTTTGTCCGTTTCCTTCAGCTCAAACTGGAGACAGACATTTTCTGATCCAGCATACAAGACACTAAGGCAGGAAAACTACTAACAGGACCTCAAATTTAATGATAAATCCACATTTTTCACCAAAATCAGCTGAAGTCTTTATCCCAGTGGGGGCCTAAACAGAAGCATTTACATTAGGGAAGAGATTTCCCACCTTAGACTGACAAACTTTATTTCAAATGACTCTTGGAAGCAGAGATGATATGTGGTGAGGTTCTGAGCTTTGGTTGTTTTAGCATAGAATAAATTATGACTTCACACGTGAAGAGAAAGTGCTGACGTTGGCGAAATGTCTAATCAGCCCCCTTGAAAGAATAGTGAACAAACTGAACAGAAAAGGCTTGTGGTAATATTACCCGCTGATTAGTTCTGCTTTTTATGCCACTAAATGAAAGCGTGGTGACAGGAGATGGGGTTTATTTCCCTAGTACAATAAATGAATTACATATGTACCAGGAAACAAAAAAAACTTGCAGGACAATACATCCTATTGTGGTGCTTATCTCCTTCTTCTCCTTTTTCCACCGTGACTCCAAAAGCCCGGTGTCAGTTCTCGTCTCTCGTGCAAAACATCACACACATTCTTACCCAGGTTGCTGTAGGTGGCGCTGCACAGGCTGGAGGCAGGAGAGTGGGAGTGATGGGAGAGGTTCCCGTCCTCCTCCGGCTCTCCGAGGCTGGCGCTGCCCTCGCTGGCGGAGGCTGGGGGGACAGCCGGGCTGGCATGGCGGTGCTCTCGCTCCCCTAACACCAGCCCCAGATTGACTTTGGCGGGCAGGGACGTGGCAGTAGGTACCTCCCGGTCCCTGGCATTGCTGGCTGGCAGCTGGCTGCACATGACACACAGAGATAGGGCTTTTCAGTAAAACACAGTTTTTTTTCGGTTAAGTACTCGTGTTCCTGGGAAGGTTTGTTCGAGCAAATACATATGCGTAGAAAAAGGGAAAAAAAAGTATGAAAAGGAGCTGGATGATGCGAGAGAGAGCTGCTACAAAGACAATAGCGTTTCCAAAAGATAAACAAGCTGCTTTTGATGAAGATTTTAATCTGTCATCTGTCATTTTTTCAGTATAAAAGATACGTCTATCTAAGATTGCAGGATCTGGGGGGGCACTCCTTGTTTCAGCACACCTCATCCATCTCATCAAATGATGGAGAGTTTGAAGGGTGGGGATTTTTCATGAGTCGGGTGCGTTTTATCCAGCCTGAGGGGAGGTTGGGTTTG